CCCGTCGAGGTTAGCGAGCTCTTTGGTCGTCTCAGGAAAATGGGACTGCAGCATGGTCCGACCTTTCAAAACATGATCAGCATTCAAGCACAAGATTTCGGCTCGAGGTTCCAGTTCCAGGTTGCGGACGTCAAGTCTGCCAGTTCTCACGTACTTCATCCTACAACCTTGGACTCCATATTCCAGGGGGCCTATGCGGCGCTTTCATCAGACGCCTACCAGAACTCCATGGTCATGCCTCGTGCCATTGGAGAGATCTTTGTTTCTCAGTCACTGTCATCCTCTCCTGGGAGCCAGTTCCAGTCTCTTGCGACCGTGGAAAAGCAAGATCGCTCAGGATTCCGCTCTACCATTACCACTTCCGACCCACAACATCCTGACACAACACTTTTGGAGGTCAAGGGGCTCTTCTGCCAGGCCGTCGGTGGCGTGAATAACACCGACGCATTAGAGAATGCCACCAAGCTCTTGTTCAAGATGCTGTGGCATCCTGATATGACGCTGATGCCTACTGAGACAATCGTGCAGCCCTTGAGATTCGAAGTTGGCGCACAGGAACTGTCGGTCAACAAGAAGCTCGTCCGGGCTGCTTGGCACTTCATCCAAGACGCCATCCAGGACTTGAGCTCAGATGAACAGGCTCTCGCCGACATGGAGTGGTACCATAAGTCCCTGTACAATTGGATGCAGTCCAACTATGAGGCTGGTCTCGTAGGCAGTCTTGCTCGTGGCAGCGCTTCCTGGGTCAAGGCAAGCAAAGGAATGAAACACATGCTCTTCGACGAAGTTGCCTCTCAGAGCGTCAATGGCCGCCTTCTGTGCCGTATTGGAAGAAATCTGTCTCAGATCCTCCGGAAGCAGGTGGCTCCTCTCGAAGTCATGATGGAAGGCAATCTCCTATATGAGTTCTATGAGAAGGCTCTGCGTTGCAACCGTTCCTACGCGCAGGTCCAGGAGTTAGTTCATCTATACTCCATGAAGAACCCGCGAGCCAAGGTTCTGGAGATCGGAGGTGGTACCGGTGGATGCACAGGATCCGTCCTCAAGGGATTTACCGAGAACACCCCAGACGGCAGATACCGCTTCTCATCCTACACCTTCACTGACGTGTCTGCTGGCTTTTTCGAAGCAGCCGCGAAGAAGTTTGGCGAGTATGGTGATATGATCAGCTACAAGAAGCTGGACATTGAGGCCGACCCCATCGAGCAGTCCTTCACGCCTGGCTCATATGACCTCATCATCGCCTGCCAGGTTCTTCACGCCACAAAGAATATGGAAAAGACGATGAAGAACGTTCGCTCTCTGCTCAAGCCTAGCGGAAAGCTCATTTTGGTGGAGACTACCAAGGATACTCTGGACGTCCAGCTGATCTTCGGCGCATTGCCAGGTTGGTGGCTTGCAGAAGAGTCCGAACGGAAGGGTGGCCCCAATCTCACAGTCGACCACTGGAGCAGGTTGTTGAAGGCAAGCGGCTTTTCCGGGATTGACTTGGAGGTTCGCGATATGGAAGACGAGGCGAACTACTCCTTCAGCGTCATGACTTCAACAGCGGCCGCGCCGACTTCTTATCCTTCAAAAGTCACCATTCTTTCGCCCTCAGAGAAGGCACCCGCCCCTTGGCTGCAGAGTCTTCAGAGCAGCATCCAACGTAACATTGGAGCCTCTACTACCGTAGAGGATTGGAAGAAGGTTGATGCCACGGACAAAGTTTGCATCATGCTCGTCGAGATGGTTGCGCCTCTCTTGAGTCGCCTGACGAAGGACGAGTTTGCGAGTATACAGCGTCTGCTGACGACTGCTCGGGGTGTTCTCTGGGTCACAAGGGCTAGTCTCATCAAGGGCTTGGAGCCCGATATGGCCATGCACTCTGGTCTTCTTAGAACTCTGAGGATGGAAGACGCTGGAAGGCGCTACGTCTCCCTTGACCTTGACACCAAGGATCCGGTGTGGTCGGAGAAGAATGTGGGCTTCATCGCCGATGTCTTGGAGACTTCATTCGACTTTTCACAAAGTTCAAGAGACATTGACTGCGAATATGCCGTTGACAACTCACTCATCCATATCTCCCGCATCTATAACGACGACAATGAGAACAAAGCATTCGCTCCCGAAGGCAGTGAACCTGAGCCAGAGATCAGAGAGTTCGACGCCAAGCACTCCAAGTTCGATCTTCAGATGGAGGTCGGAACGGCTGGATTACTCGACACCCTGCGCTTCCGGGAAGTCGAGCGTGACGAATCCTCTCTTGGCGCAGGCCAGATCGAGATCGAGCCACGCGCGTTCGGTCTGAACTTCAGAGACGTCTTGGTTGCTCTAGGTCAGCTTGATGAAACCATCATGGGCTATGAGTGCAGTGGCATTGTTACTAGACTTGGTTCAGACGCTCAGAGAGACAGTGGTCTGAAGGTTGGTGACCGTGTCTGCGCTATCCTTCGCGGGCACTGGGCGACAAGAGTAACCATCAACTGGCCATGTGCTGTTCGCATCCCTGACAACATGTCATTCGAAGAAGCCGCCACCGTGCCGATGGTGTTCGCGACAGCCTACTATGGCTTGTATGACATCGGCAAGCTTACCAAGGGCGAAAACGTTCTCATCCATGCCGCCACCGGTGGAGTTGGGCAGGCCGCAGTGATGCTGGCTCAACATCGCGGTGCCAACGTCTTCGTCACCGTCGGTACCGAAGCTAAGCGTGACTTTCTTATGAAGGAGTTGGGGATTCCAAGAGATCACATATTCTCCAGCCGAGATACCTCTTTCGGGCCTGCACTTATGGCGGCCACCAACGGCCGAGGCGCTGACGTTGTTCTCAACTCCCTCTCGGGTGCACTGCTCAAAGAGAGTTGGGACTGCATGGCACGATTTGGACGTTTCGTCGAGATTGGGAAGCGGGATATGGAGGCGGCCAAGCACCTCGACATGAGCCCTCTGCGCCGCGCAGTTTCGTTTGCTGCTGTTGACCTCTTCCAACTCGGCAAGTACAAGGGAGAAGCGGTTCAAGATGTCCTGCAAGGAGTCATGAAGATGTTCGGAAACGGACAGCTTCGAGTAGTGGCACCAATGACAACTTACCCCATCTCGGAAGTCGACAAGGCGTTCAGGTTGATGCAGAGCGGCAAGCACTTGGGCAAGATTGTTGTGACCCCCAAAAAGACGGCTCTTGTCAAGGTATGGTTTCCTGTGGCACTTTCCCTCCGATGACATTACATGGTTTCTGACTGTTCACTAGGTAATCCCGTCTCCTAAGCCCGCCCGTCTTTCACCACATGCGACGTACGTTATTGTGGGTGGCATGGGAGGGATTGGTCAATCCATCGCACGGTGGATGGCCCGCAGCCTCGGCTGCAAGAATCTCATTATCCTCTCTCGCAGCGCCAAGACGCATCCAGACAGTGAGGATCTCATATCCGATCTGAAAGCCACGGGGTGCAATGCCTTCTTGGGGAATTGCGACGTATCGAATGAGGCGGAGCTCCGCAGAGTCTTGGACCAAGCTAGCCAAAGTCTCCCGCCGGTTCGTGGCGTGATCCAGGCGGCAATGACCCTCAACGTAAGTTCCCTTCCCATTTTGTCCATACAAGTAAGCATAAACTTAAAGCAACTTAGGACTCTATTTTCCCCAATATGACGTACGACCAATGGCTGGCTGCAACTGGCCCCAAGGTCGCGGCCACGTGGAACATCCACAATAACCTTCCCAACCTTGACTTCTTCATCATGCTGTCATCCTTGACTGGCCTAGGCGGGAATACGAGCCAAGCGAACTACTCCGCTGGCGGAACATTCCAAGACGCCTTTGCTAAGTTCCGGACTTCTCAGTCTCTGCCTGCGGTGTCGGTTGACCTGGCCAGCATCCAAGAGGTCGGATTTGTTGCCAATACCGAGGGTGTCGCGGAACGTTTGACCAAAACCGGTCTTGCCGATATAAGCGAGGCACAAATGCTCAAGATTGTTGAGACGGCCATCCAACACCCTCTTCGCCAGGTCGACCTCAGCCAACTTATCACGGGCATCCTAGAGTTCGACGAGGCATCAACGGTTGCGTGGGTCAACGACAGACGATTCACGGCTGCCCAAGTTACTCGCAACGCACATGGCGGTCCACGTGGACGAGGTGATCAGCAAAGTCAAGCGACGGCCCGCCTCTCGGACTCTCTGCAGTCTGCCACGAGCGGCACCGGTGCTGTGGTCCTCATCCTCGACGCCATCATCTCAAAGTTGGGCGAGATGTTCGGATTGGACGCCGCGGAGATTGACAAGAAGTATCCCGTGTCCAAGTACGGCGTCGACTCGCTCATTGCGGTAGAGCTCAGAAATTGGCTCGTATCTAGTGCGGGAGCCGAGACGACAAGCATTTTTGACGTGCTTCACAGCCCGAGCTTGAGCGTATTGGCTGAGAAAATTGGAGAAAAGAGTCGTTATGTTTCGACGCTTGTGAAGACAGCATAGAACAAGGGTCGTATTAGCTTTATTGATGCTTTTCCATCGCATGTGTATTTAATTGGCCGAGTTTTCCGAGTTGCTCGCTGAAATAGGAGCCTGTTTGCGCCGCAACCCAGACTTGATGATTGCCTGTTTCCGTGATCCATTTGCTGCCGTGTGGGTTTGGCTGCCGGCGCACTGTCATGCCGCTTTAGGCACATTAGGCGGAGGCAACTTTAGCCGTTGGGTCTGTTAGCCTCCGTCAAGCTGGGCTATGCGCCTTGACAATTGCCTGTCGAGATCCCAGATACTTCATCTGAGCAGGATTACTCCGAGGATACTCCTTAGTCGAGTTGGGACGAGTGTGACTAAAGGGAATCGCATATTCGTCTCAAGCTACGAACTCAAAAGCTGGCTTACCACATCAGCGTTGCACATGCATGCGTCGTAAAAGTCTTCGTGACCAGGAAGGCCCAGCAACCCTCGGGAGAAAGCCGACACACTCGTAAAGAGAAGAGAAACTTCAACATGTTCACGTACAGCAGCGCTAGTGAGACAACTGACATATTCTGATTACGCTATGCTAGTGACGGCGAGTCGCTACTGTTACTTCTAGATCCTCCATAACTTTCACACTGCATCAACATGGTTCGCATGCACTGTATCTTCCGCTCTGCTCCCAGCAGTGGCGCCAGGTGTGCCTTTCTCGTGCCCACCCGCGCTTTAATCTTGCTGATCAGTAGGCAAAACTCTGTCAACTGTCCTGTAACGAGGCATCTGAGAACCTGGTTGCGTTCCGATGCGCTCTCGATCTTGTAGGAGCGGAACCACATGGCAACGGCTCCGTCCGGGGGATTCGCCGGCCGGGGCTGCTGGACGACGTCCACGTAGCACCGCACCGTCTTTTCGCAAATGTTGCTGAGATACTGTCCCGCCATGGCGAGAAGCATCATGCTTTCGGACCGAGACTTGCATAATGTGCAGCTGAGGATTGAATCGCAGCCCTTGATGGCCTCTCGACAGCAATTGAGCAAGCCGTCCATCGTCGGCTGTTCCGTATTTGCCCCCTCGTTGCCAAGTTGCTCGAGGAGGTGGGCAGCTAGCCGGAGGCAGCGGCACTCGCTCTTCTTCTTGTAGGTGTTTTCGGCCGTCTCCAGTAGCGCCGTAAGTGGGCTTGGTGCCGGCGCAGACATCTTGTATGCTACTGGGGTCTGTTTGCGGCTTGGTTGTTGGGTTTTGTTCGACGGGGGATCCGGCAGGGGAGCGCTTGTATTTGTGGGGAAGTTCTCGTCCAGTAGCATGTCTAGACTTGAGGATGATAGGCATGGGGTTGATGATGAATCGTCGATGGTTTCTGCGGGATCTAATAATTCAGTCAGCCATCGAATGAACAAGCCCGGGTCCGCAAGTTAATTGCAGATGATGCTTACCATTCATGTCGAAGTCCTCGAGTTGAGTCTCTTGAGAGCTCGCTCCATCATCTCCACTGTCATCCACATTGTCAAAATATGACATGTCTTTGCTCAGCTCTTGCCAAGTGAAGTCCCCTGTCTTCAGGCTGCCCATATCGATTGTGCCATTGGGCGATAACAGGCTACATGAAGCCAGCCATTGGTCGATCTGATCCTGCTCATGCTTCTCGTTTTGGCCGTTGGTCAACTCCCCCATCAAGTCGGTGGGGCAGGCTGGCAGATCAAGCACCGGACTGGGCAGATTGCTTTGCCGATGCAACTGACCCAGCGCAACGGTCTTCTCGGCTTCATTATTTGATGTGTGAAACATCATTGCCGGGTCAAGTTTGAAGTGGTCGGAAAGTGTTGGCGACTGCGGTGCTGTGGTATCTCCAAGGGCAGATTGGCGTGGCTGTGACGAGTCTTTGGTTGAGGCTGTGGACTGTTTTCGTTTTCGGATAACGCCTCTGTTTGTTGGGTATTTACAAATGTTGGATGCTGACTTGCACCGGTCGCAACCGTTTGGATTCCCATTACATCGGAGCTTCACGCAATCAGAAGGAGTCTCAAGTGCCGCTCATAGAGAAGAGCCTACCTTGCGAGCTCGACAAAATTCGCATGCGATGTGTGGCTTGCCCCGTCGGTTCCGATTGATCACCGCCTCGGGATTGTTCTCGATAAACGTGGGCTCGTTGTGCTGTAGATCATACATCAAAGTACCGAACATCTTGCTTTGTTCTAGAAAACGTCAAGCAGATAATCCGACCAATTAGTGAACGGGTGTGTGTGTGTGTTGCGGGCGATCAAGTAGCAAATCATAAAGGTAGTATAGCGTGGTGACCAATGGACACAGTTTCGGTTTTTAGAACGAGCAGAACGAGCAGACAATCGCGTCTCCTCGGGTTTGGCTGACAAGTCACCATAGGTATAAAGGATTTAAGGCTTCATCGGGTAAAAGGGCTTTGCCTCTCTTGCGCTGACGTGCCATTGATCAAACACGACCCTGGGCGGTTCGCAGAATGCATGTTACAACCTTCGAGGGAGCAGATGCAATGTCTGAGGAAACCTTGGCAAATAAGATTTATCTGAGGTCGGCCAATCATGCGGATATGCTGCCGACGATTAAACAGATTTGGTGGGAGTGGTTTATTTTTCCGTTAGAGAGGTATGTGGGAGGGGTTAGGTCTAGGTATACACCTCGCAGGGGGGTCTAAAAAGCAAGCAGGGGGCTATAGTAGTACTAGAAGAATAGATCTTCTAGACTATATAAATATAACTTTCCCCTTATAGTTTACTTTATTATATTTAAACTATCCTTAAACTATACTTATATCTAAATAAAATAAAAGCTATATTATAGTAGAATATAATTATAATAGATATTAATAATAGAGTTATATTATCCTTAATATATACTATATATATATTATAACTAATAGTTTATAAAAAAATATTTATTACTCTTTTTTTTCTATATAATAGAGATATATTATATATATATAGAACTTATTCTTAAAGTATATTATTTTTAAACTAAATATCTCTAATATCTTAACTTTATTTTTTTAAAGAATTTATATATAATAAACTCTCTATTAACCTTAATTAACTTTATTAATCCTTTAGCTATATTTATAGATAATAATCTATTTTTTAATTTTAATATTTTTTCTATTTTAAATAATATTAAGTAATAAGAAAAGAAATAGAGATAATTTAAAGAGAATAATCTTATTATAAGCTTAACTTATTATATTACTTATTAACTTAATATTTAAACTTATTAGTATAATAATTTATTTAAAAATAATATATAGGATAAAAAAGATATATTTTATAAAATAAGTTTAATTAAAGTAAGTTTTTTTTTAATTTATATTATTTATATACTCTATATATATTAAGTATATATATAAGATATAATTAGAGCTTAAAGTATTTTTATAGCTTAAAATAAAAACTATTAAGTTATTATATATACTATATATAACTATTTTATTATTTTAGTATATCTTAAGATTTATTTTAATAAAGTTTTTTATTATATTTCTTATAATATCTAAGATAGAAACTTTTTATATTCTTATATATAGAAGCTTATTCTAAATATTACTTAAATTATTTAGTATTTAAATTATAAGAACTTTAAAATTATAAAGAGTTTATATTTAATTTTAAAGTAAATTTAATCTCTATATATATTAAGTATATATTTATATTATTTTAAATTTAAGAAAGATATAAATTAGGTTTAATATTAGTTTTATTAATATAATAGTATTAAGTATTATAAGTTTATATATTTTTTAATTATAACTTTAAGTATAATATAAGATAAAGGAGATTTTATTAAAGTATTATAAAAACTATATATTATAAAAGGTATTTATAAAACTTTTTAATTAATTATAAATAAGTTAATTAAATATATATAAGAGTTAATACTTACCTTCTATATATATTATATATATATTAATAATATAGCTAGTTTTTATATAGCTTTTTAGTATAAATAGTAAAAGTATTTTAATAACTCTTATATTTAGAAGCTATAATTTTTATTTTAGAAACTTAAAAGGATTTATTAATATTAAGTATTTTAGATATTTAAATAATATAGTATAAGTATTATCTCTATACCTTTCTAATATAAGCTAAGTATATATATATTATAAGTTTTTTATATTAGTTACTTAAAACTAAGCTTTTTAGAGCTATAATATTTTATTTATAGTATACTTATTAAGTAAAATAGAGTTAATATTAAGTATTTTTATAATATAATTAAAATAAGTAGTTAGTATAAAGTTAGAATAGATTATATATATATTAGAAATATAGAAGTAAGCTATTAAAACTATAATAAATAATAGATATAAAGTATTATCTATATATACTTACTATATATTAAGCTTATCTTATTTTTAAAGTAATAATAAGATAAATATATTATTATATAGAGTTAAGCTTTACTTCTATATATTTCTTAACTTTATTAAGTTTCTATTTATCTTTCTCTTTATATATAGTTTATATATATATATTTTACCCCCTCTTTTATAGCTAGTTTTATACTTTATAAATAAAGTAGTTCTTAGTTTTTTAAAAAAACTTAATATTACTACTTTTTCTATATATATATTTCTTATATCTTTAGTATATACTTAATATAAGCTAACTCTATTTATAAATAAGCTTTTTCTCTATTTAGGTATATATTAAATTTATAATTAATTTAGAGTTAACTTATTTTAAGTAATAAGTATAGTATTTAATAATAAGGATAAAGTAGTTATTCTTTTATAGAAAGCTTATTTTCTATAGTTTTTAGCTAGAAACTTATATATAAGTTAGTTTATTTTTTATATATATTATATATAAGCTAATTATATATAGAGATTTTATATAAGTTTACTTTTAATAAAGTAAAGTTTATATAAAAGTAATAGATTTATAAAGTTTAATAGCTTCTAAATAAGGATTTCTATATTATCTATATAGTATAAGTATATATATATATATTTCAGAAAGTATAATATTTTAAGGTTAATATATTATTTAAGATAGTATGAGGAAATATAAACCTATTTAAGGTTTATAAGTAGTAAGAAAGGTTATAATATATATATTATATATATATTATATATATAGTATATTTACTAACTTTATACTCTATAAATCTTAAGTTATATACTTATATTTAGATAAATATAGATTTATAAGAGGGTTATATTATTCTCTTTAAGTATATCTTTACTTAAATTAAAATAGTTTTTAGCTTTTTAGTTTAATAGGCGTATATATACCTTATAACTTATAATATAGTATATATTATTATAACTAATATAGATATAAAGTAAGCTTATTATAAATATATACTTTATAGATATATTATATATACTAATATTATATTAATATTAAGTTTTAGTAATTACTTATATAAGTAAAACTTATTATAAACTACTAAAGAGTATTTATAATATTTATTTATATTCTATAAATTATATATTCTTTAAAACTAATAAAAGAGGTATTTAGACTACTTTATTATTTTAGAGCTATTTAGGCTTTAAGAAGTAAAAGATAAATAAGAATATCTTTAGTATATATAAAGTATATATAAAACTTAGTTTAATATTAGGTCTTAGTTTACTAAGAAAAAAGGATAAATTATAGCTACTTTTATTTAATCTTTTAGTAAAATACTAGCTTAATAGTAGACTTTTATATAGAAGTATATTAACTTTATAAAGTTAAGTTATACTTAAGATAATTCTACTATTAATTAAAATTAGTTTCTACTTTAAACTATATTAAAGTAAGTAAATCTTTTACTAATATACTATATATACTAAAGTAAGCTTAAGACTAAGTATACTATATTTTAAGCTATTTCTTAGTAGTAGCTATACTTAGGTTAAAGCTTATATATATAGAGGGATAACTTAAAGTTAGTATATATTATAAAGAGCTTTTAATAAATATATTAATATTATTAATAATATATATAATACTATAAAAAACACCTATATATCCCTTATAACTTATTTAACTTTTTAGACTTATTAATACTAAGTTTAGTATTTAAGTTAAGTATATAGAATATAATCTTAGTTTAGGAATTATTTAAGTAGAGTATATAGTTAGTATATATTCTACTTAAGTATAATATACCTTTTTTATTATTACTACTTACTCTCTACTTATATTAATATTAAGTTAGAGATATATAAAATTTAAATATAAAATAAATAAATTAAGAGCTTTTTTAATTTAAATAAAAAGCTTATAAATTTTAAACTTAGAAGTATAAATAAGAACTTTAAAAAGAGATTATTTAACTTAAATAAAAACTAAGTAATAGAGAAAATAAGCTAATTATAAATATAGTTTAATATAAGTATATATACTACTTATATAAGCTTCTAGCTAGAAATTAATATTTATACTATTTATATTTTTATCTATATATATACTATATATATATTATATTCTATTTATTATATAAGAAAACTTTTTAATTAGGTATTATTATATATATATTATATATATATAATACTTACTATTAATATTATTTAGGAGTACTATATTAATCTAACGCTTTTATAGCTATATATACTATATATATTAAAATAGAGGTCTATTTATAGCTATAAGATCTATCTATAGATAGTATATATAAGAGATATATACTATATATATACTTAGTCTTAAGGTTTATCTTCTTAAAGCTTATTTTTAAACTCCTCCTCTTTAAGTTCCTCTTATTATTACTATTACTAAATAGTAGTAATACTTAGTATATTATTAGTATATATATAATATAGATAT